ATTACTTCACCAAGTGGCCTGAAGCGTATCCTATTCCTGATCAAGAGGCTGTTACAGTAGCTGAGGTGATGATACAGCACTGGATTTCCAGGTTCGGGGTGCCTCTTCAGTTACATTCCGATCAGGGAAGGAATTTTACCTCGGTAGTAATCAAAGAACTATGCAAACTACTCGGCATTGACAAAACCCAAACGACGCCATTACATCCCCAGTCGGACGGCATGGTAGAGAGGTTCAATCGAACCATCCTTAATAACCTCTCATTAGTGGTTTCCAGAAGCCAGCAGGACTGGGACAAGAAATTACCACTCTTTTTACTGGCTTACCGCAGTGCTGTTCACGAGACTACCGGCTATTCCCCATCACAGATGGTCTTCGGTCGTGACCTTCGTCTGCCTTGTGATCTATTGTTTGGACGCCCTCCGGATTCTCCTTCATCGTCTGAGGAATATATTCAAGATCTCCAGGCCCGGTTTGAAGTGATGCACAACTTTGCACGAGAGAGAGTCAAATTGGCGACAGAGAAGATTAAGACCCGCTACGACACAAGAGCTACTGAACATCAATTCCACGAAGGAGACAAGGTGTGGTTGTGGAATCCGACTCGACGGAAAGGACTTTGTCCGAAATTACAGTCACCTTGGGATGGCCCGTACACAGTCCTAAATAGGCTGAAATGACATCGTGGTTCGGATTCGTAAGTCTTCGAACTCTAAACCTAAAAACCTTCGAACTCTAAAGTCGTTCATTACGACAGGTTAGCTCATTACTATGGCCATAGTACGTAATGTAAATAATTGTAAATAGTATAAGACCATGGTCCTTTTTGTTTTTAAATGTATATTTGATTTGATTTGTATTTAGTATTTGATTTAGATTTGATTTGATTTGATTTGATTTGTTTTATTTATTGCATTTATTGTTCATGTTGTTCATTATTGTAATGTAATGCTTATGCCTTAATGCATGTATGCCACAGTTGTAAGTTTAGCTTCCTGTCCAGGGATTGTACTGCCCGGGACGTGCAGTCCTTGGGAAGGGGGGCAGTGTTACGAATTTGGTATTTAAAAAGCTAATGTTAGTTCAATTATAAATTAAATGGTTTTATTTCTCGCGCAGTGCAGCGCGTGACGAATATTAAAAGAAAGCTAAGCAGGAAAATTGAAAATACAAGAGCGCGTGCATTAAATAAATAAATATCTCTTTTTGATTTCGAGAAAGTACTGGAAAATTCTAGCGCGTGATTTTAAAATCTTATAAAAGGAGGCAAACATCTCAGTTCGCAGTAGTTGCTAAGTTTGTTGTTGTTTAGAAAAAACTACTCTTGTTGATTGTAGCGAATTCGCGGATTAGCGTTCTTTAGCTGTTTTGAATTACGTTCTACTGGACATTTGAGTAGTTAAAAGATAACTACTGTGAGATATTGTAATACTGAATGATAATTTGAGAAAATGTAAGCATTTTTGTTGTGATAATAATAAATTTTTGTTCATTTTTCATCGGACTTGTGCATTCATTTCATAACGAACTCGTACGCACGCAACAATAGAACGAAACAAATTAGTAACTCGCCGTCGTGGGTAACTGTTTTTAGAGCATTTCTATGGGTTTCCCGTCGGCAAAGGTTATCATTAAAAGCAAGAATGCAGAAAAATCGTATAATTTAATATTCCGTACAAGGAAGTCATGTGGCGTTCACATCAGATTTTTTATTTTTATTAAAATACATCTCACTTTCATAGCAGTTTTTAGAGATTTTGGGGTTTCGGAGCCAAACCTTTTGCCTGGAAGGAACTCAGTGGACCTCAGCTTTACACAAAATTTGTTCATTGTGAGTTTGTTGCTGCCTATATTTTAAAATGTTTGCAATCAATCCATTACGAACAGGTACGCACACGACAATAATTAAAGAGTTTGGCTTCTAGAATCTGGTATAGGGAATGCACCGAAAAGATTTCGATGAAATTAAAAGCTCTTAAAGACTTTTTGAATAATAATATTACTGAACATATAGCTGCTGCTCTTAAACAATCGATATTTGAATTTTTTGCTTAATATTTGCAACATTTTTTTATTTTAAATTCGCTTGATTAAACTATCAACAGCATGTAAGACAGGAGAGAAATACAATTCTATAAATAATCGGAAAAGTTCTTTTAAATATATATTACGTGCTCCGCTATTAGACACTACACCGAAGCGAAGGGATGCGCCGTGAACGACATTTTAAAAGAAACTGGTTTATGTCCACGTTACAAAGCCTTGCACTTTACGCGGGGAAGACTATTAAGATAGCCACGCAACCAACTCATTCTCTGGGACTTGAACTACTGAACTACCAGTGTTCAGTAGCTTTAACCCTCTTCCCATAGTAGGCTTTAATTTCAGAATTTCACTAAAATGTTAGTTACCACCAGGGCTAGCGTCACCCTCTGCAACGTTTGCGTACTCTAAATTCTGCTGCCAATTTCCTCCTAAATTCTAAAAGTTTTGCCGCTCTTAAATTTGCAGTCAGTCGCTACACCACTGCTTGCTCTGGCTCTGGCGCCAGGCTTGGCTACCTCAAATCCATATTACAGTAAGAGTTTTATGTTAGAAACGCAGTGTGAAATAAAGGATGCCATGTGTTGTTGATTGTGAAACCATTTTTGCTGCATATATTTAGTGCATGCAGAGAAGGTACCGCTTTGAGAAAGAATTATTCTCAGATGAATACGAGTTAGAAAGAATCGATGTAGAATGATTGAACAACTTTCAGAGCTCATCCAAGCTATCGAATTATTGCCAAAGATAGTTTTAAACTATTGAAGAAAATATCAATGAATTGATTTTAAAATTCTATAAATCACTGCAAAGTGTAATATATTTATAGTAATTTAATTTTACGAGTGATATTGATGCGCGAATTGTGCTGTAATGCATAAAAATGTAATCGTACCGTCCATGAAAGTATTGAAAACGTTTTACGACTTTCAGTCACACTTGTAAGCGGCATGCCATACTCATCAAAAGTCTGCAGCGTGTTCTCATTAATTCGGATTGGTACACAAATGTTGCTTTTTAAGTTTTCTTATAAGAAAGGCTTATTTTTGTAATCGCAACATGTTATGTAATCCTATAAGTAGAATTTAGAAGGAATTAAATTGAGCGAAAGAAATGCCCGGAATCGTTTGGAGATCATTGAGAAGTAGAAGACGAAATTTCATTTATGTTCAAATGGGGTACAAGTATTCAACTCACTCGATTCTGCTAATATAAACCCTGTCTAATCAATATTTATCAATATTGTTACATTTCACAAGGTTCACGGTCGCTTGAAAACAGGGTATTAAGAGACTATGCATGATGTACAGGGTGGTCGTAAAAAACTTCCCCAATATATGAGCTCCGAGCAGCCTATCCTCTCAGCCAGTCAGAATGAAATATCAAATATTGTTATTTGAAGGTATGCACTTGAGATTGTGAGGAATTAAAGCAATAGAGCTCTCACGATTACGGTGACAGTGAAAATATTTGGAAATTTTTCGAATGGCTGTACCCACTGTTTCCTTCTCAAAGTCATCAGCGCATTGAAAAACCACTAGTGGCGTTGAAACGATCTACGCATGACGATAATTGCCGGTATGAAACATTTGCAAAGAAGAGCATTGTAAAGGGCCAGTCTTAACAGAAGAGAAAAGAGGGAAAAATAACCTTTATTGGAATTACAAGTTTTCAACGAGTATAATGTTTCAAGGTACAACTATCTGTTGTAACTTTGCAGTTTAATGGCCACTGTAATCTCTCGACTTCCCCCTCCCCGATGGATTTATGGTTCTGGGTTTATCTAAAACCTAGAGTAAACATATTAAATATATGAGATTTGTCAGAATTGAAAGATACCATAAAATGCGAAGTTATACAAATTCGTCTTGCTATGTTACGTTCGTCATTGTTGTGAACAATCTTCCGCCATGCAATGCATTATCGTCTGTCTGCGAAGGTGGGCAGGTTTAAAATTTAGAATTCCAATAAAAGTTTTTTTTTCTCTCTCCTCTCCTGTGTTTTTACTGGTCCTTTAAAATGCTCTTTTCTGCAAGTGATTTATGCAAACCATAAATAGAGTTGGAATGGTACACGTATAACTTTCGTTATACGTGTACCATTCCAACTCTATTTATGGTTTTTCAATGTGCTGATCAATTTGCGCAAGAAAAAGTGAGTATTGCCATTCGTAAATCTCGTAATGTTTTCACTGTAAGCGTAATCGTAATCATTTTAAATCTTCACAATATTGAGCGCATACCTTCACCGAAGGAACAACATTTGAGAAACAAATGGAAAGAATAACATTTGAGATTTCATTTCAATTGGTTGAGCGGATAGGTCGCTGAGGGTTTAAATATCGGGAGAGATTTTTGATGACCATCCTGTATATAGCTGGTGGAGAAGAGTAACTACTCTTTTGGGAGGACAACCTAAAGTGAAACAATATACGCAAAACGTTATATAACTGTTCAATTTTTATTAATATTTTGATAAATCACTGGATCTGCTCGACTAAAAAGCCATTAATTTTCATTCAGCCTGAGCACCAATTTCGAGATACGGGAGATATTACGCACTCCAGAAATCATGTAACACTTTTATAACTTAACAACGTAACTAATAAATGCATAAAGAAAGCTTATAAAATACCTTTATATATTTATAAGTGTTATATAAAATATCTTAAACTTAGGACTGTTTCACTTCGAAAAGTGTAATTCAGTGATAATTCAAATTATTTCAGCATTTGTAAACTCGGAATTCTAATTACGAGAATTTGTAGCTTACACAAAATTATAATCATGTGTACAAATGTGCGCAAATAGTAGTAATCTATAAAATAATTACCTATTTAATGTTAAATACAGAGTTCAGGATAAATACATTTAATAAATTTTGTTCATGGTTAATGCATTCTGTTAAATGAATGGAATTTGGGACTAGAGTTTCATTTATCTTTTCTCGTAATGTAGTCCTTGGGAAATCATGAATTTGATGACAGCCTGAAAGGACTTTTCCCCTACTTGAAGAACCTGAAACCAACAGTGGTCGTGTGTAATATAAATTCAACGAAAGTTCCAGAATTTGGAGAACTCGTGAAGCCATCCACAGTTGTTGAAGTTGGTGGCGAGAAGATAGGCATCATAGGTTACCTCACTCCAGAGACAAAATTCTTATCCTCTGTTGGTAAGAAATTATGGCTACTTTCGCTTTCTTTTTCACATAATTAAGCATTATATGTCTCGGAGATGAATATGCTACAGGAATGGGCTGAATGAATTACCTTCTTTTGGAAAATGTGTGATTTAAAATATTTCTATCTGTTACATTTCTATGTTTGATTCGGCTGATTTCTTTAAAATTTGTTAATAATCTCAATATTTAATTAAATATAGATTGATCAACGATTTATTTTAATAAACTTGCACATTTTTAATTGTTTTATTGATTTTAAACGTAAGAAGTTATATATATATATTTATGTATAAAACTGCCAAATTGTGAAGAACTTTTACCGTATTGGAATTTGCAATTTTTTACTTTGGCTACTTTTACAAGAAATTATAGGAAGGAATTCATAGGATCAAGCATAGGACCACGAAGGTCCAAAGATATCTGTACTATTTTCATCATCGTAAAAGATGTAGCTGTTTAGTTTAATAGAGTCTCGTATTCTTCGGTAAGATAAGCTAACGAGCACTGGAAAGAGTGTAAAGGAATTGTCCTCTGGTCTTAACAGCAGACAGATAAAGTCAGAAGAAGGGTGCAAACGACCCTTTCATTCGCCCACATAAAGTTTATAGACGACCCACTTGGGTTTACATAAGCCAACATTTCTTGCTTAAATTAAACATGTAATGGTGAAGTTAAAAAAAATGTAATTCAACTGCCTTAACGGCTCCCAGGATATTTTAAATGCGCAGGAAGGTTCTGGCTCGTAGAAGACGGAGGATCAAGCCTAATTGGCTAGAAGCATTTAAGGTCACAGAATCAATTCGCTATTAAATGAAGGTTTTTGTTCTTGAATTTGAATAAACGAGTGCTATCTAATATTCTTGGAGGAAAGCGGGGGTGAAAAGGGGAGCGAAAGGAAAATAGCTTTAACAAAAAATTAACTACTAGTAAAAATATATAAATAAATCCTCACAAGTTGACTTATTTCTTATTGAATGGAAAATTCTGCCTCTGTTTCGTGTAATTTTTGTATTAGGTTTGATGAATTACATATCTTAGATACGCATTTGCACAGCTTTCGCTAAGGATAGCTTCGAATTATTTTGCATTTCGGAGACAAAAGTACCGAAATGTTTTTAAAAATGTTTCTGACCGTAATCTTCTTGATACTGAAGCTGCTGACGTTTAAGATGGTCTGCGCTTTAGAAGCTTTACAGCCAAGGTATTTTTGCTATCGAACTAATTTATTCAGAAGACTCTACACGAAAGTTTGAGACCATACTAGCTGCTGTCTAAGATATTTGTGTACGTCAATTACTAACACATAGAAATGCAACTTCATTTGACGAAGAATATGATCACCAGTAGTAAGGGATCGAGCATTGTAACCAATTTTGGTTGTTTCCTTTCTAAGTATTATTGTTATTATGATTTCATGGAAGAATGTCTTAGAATGTATAAACACGCATTAATGGTGATATTCACAAGGGTACTGATGGCACTTTCCTCTATGAAATCCCATTTTTCCATGGGGATGATTATTAACTCCTTAAAGTGTTTAGGTTAAAGATAGCCAACTGTACGTTTCCAGAATATCCCCAAATTCGTCAGTGCATTGCGTATTTAGATATCTGCTTATTCGGCCCAATGTCTAATTGCCTTTACTTGGGATATTTCATTAGATGTCTTGACTCCAAAAACGATGCTATCTGCAGAAGTTCTAATGATATCTAATACGAAGTGATATTAAAGAACACAAACTATCCGGATCCATCAGCCTCATTTTGTTAGATTGTATAAAATATAAAAGCTTACGTTCGTCAAGCCAATAATTTACGGCTTGATGAATTTTGAAACAGCTCTTCTAATGGCTCGAAGTATCTGAGGCAGTTAGTAGATAGATAAGGTCTATCAGTTCCTGTTTTTAAAATCATAAAATAATCATTAAATGATATTGAACTGGTTGGCAAACCTTGGATCGGGCCTTTGTGGCAATCCACAGGCATTAATAAACTGCTGGAAGAACAAAACCTCTGTTCTATGGTTAGTCCACGTTTTGACTATTTTAGAATGAGACTAGCCGTCTTCTATTTAGCCCACAGCTATTCACCATCCCGAGTTTGCTAAATGATATATAAGCACTTGCACTACTAGAAAGGTTTTTTACACACCTATTAAATGAAGATGCTTTTCCATTTTCGATGAATTAAAATGTGCAATGTGCAAGTCGATGAATTCACAATACATTATTTTATAAAATTTGAAATTCTGTTCAGATAAATGTTTCTCAAAATACTAATTTGCAAATTACATAAATTTTTACTTAATAATTAGAATAATATACCCAAATTTACTGCACAGATTTTTTTTTAGTTAATTTCCAAATTATATTTATATATGTGATGATTTTGCAGATAGGCACATGAATGACGAAGCTTGGCATCAGAGTCCGGGTGTTGTTTGGATGAGTGGAATGCAACAGAAAGATGACACAGAAGGATTTTGCTTTTAAATGCACATCGTTTTTCAATTCAAATGTCAGATCATTTTCCTTTTAGACGAAATTCTCCAAATTACATATCAAATAGTGTTTTAAACTAAATAAGATGAAATATAGGCTTTTGACGTCATAAATATTCTAACAAAGGGAAGAAAGATGGACAGAGCAGCTCGGAATCTTGTTGCAGCAATAATAGGAAGCAATCTGACTAAGAGGTCCAAGTTCCACTTTATGCCGAGATTATCAAGCAGAATGCTTGATGTGTTCCGGCTGTCATCAGATGTTTGCTCTTTGAGCGCTGAAAAGAGAATAAGTTCGAAGTGTGAGTCCAGAAGGGCAGGAGCTAATGGCGAAGGGGCGTGACCAGTTGTCACGTGGGCTGCAAGCTGACTTATCATTGGTTACGAGTCTTCTGAGAAATACCTCGCTAAAATTGCAATTAAATACAGTACAAAATATATATGAAAGTAGAAATAGTAAAAATAATTACATAAATCAGTCTTCTAAATTATTTACATATGCATTAGTCCAAGTTCGTCAGGAGATAAACAAGAGGCACGGGAAGAAGAGCCCGTAAGTCACATGGGTAGTCACCCACCCAAATTGAGGCTCAGACGCTTGCTTCTTGAGTTTGGTGTCACTGAAAGTAGACACTATCGTGATCATTATTTAATAGACACTAATTAAGTGGGAAACTTTTGATGTCTGACTAAAAAATGGCGCTTGCTCGGTATTTATTCCTAGCGGTTATATAGCATGCCAGAATGTTCTGCAAAATACTGGTTTAGGGGTAAGATCCTGAAACTGCAGAAAGTTAATTAGAGGTTGCCTGTTCGTGTAGAGCAAAACCATCGTATTTTTTATATTTTACATCTCCTCCCTCAAAACGAGAGGCCGGGAGAGCAAAGCATTAGTACATTAGTGAAACAAGAAAAAATTTAGAGTATGCGGAAAATTATGTAATGCTTTTTTCTAAAAAAGCTTTTCTTTCGCCAAGCCTTTTTCTCTTTGACGTGGAGATATGTAAGATGAAAGATATGTGAATTAAAATTATAATTTAAACTAACTATAAACTCTTTAATTCTTCCTCTCTGTTTTAAAAATCGTAATAACTTCTCTGGATTGTGTCATTTCTAGATCATTCCATTTTGCATGGCCTGGACAGCGCTGATGACGTAATAAATGGGAACTGAAACTGTTAACTCATACCAAAATCTTTCTCTTCGTGTGCTTTCATCTTGCATAACTACGCACTTCGGCTTTGCTCTCTACCCTGCAAGGATGCAGTTTCTACGTCCTCGCTTCCTACCCCTATAATATCAAAAATCTAAATGTTCTTGAATAGGCACGACTAGAGCGCCAAGTGAATTGTGACCACAAACGTCAACTGGAAAATAAAAATGGAATTAAAACTGCATAAAACTGGAAGTTTCTTAGATATTACCAAGTCAACATATTAGCATACAACGCAATCGGAATGTTTCCTCTCCAATATGCCATCTACGTGCTTCATCATCTGTATTTTTCTGCGTTTCTACGCCTCGGTGTTCCTACATTAGTACTTCTAAATTTTGCTTTTATTACACACATATAGATAGATATATATATATATCTTTAACATTAGGATTCCAATCGCATCGTTAATATCGCTCTTCTAAAGTAAAATTCACATTGAACGAGAAGAACATTTTGTTAGACCTTAACTGCAGTCTAACCTTTCTTTACAGTAGTTCATTTTCCCCTACAATTGCAAAATTTATGTGTATTGACTTAATTGATTGCTAAAATTAACTTTTCAGCTGGTTTGGAGTTTGAGGATGAAGTGGAGTGTATCAAAAGAGAGGCTGAGAGGTTGACCAAGGAAGAAGGTTTAACGAAAATCATAGCTGTCGGGCATTCCGGATTTGCTGTCGATCAAAATATTGCTAAAAATGTGCCTGAAGTTGACGTTGTGGTAGGAGGACATACAAACACTTTCCTTTACACAGGTAAAAGTTTTCAGGTTTAAACCTATCTGCCTAAAATTGTCTTAATATAAGTGTTAATGTTACTTTTACTTTGTTGTCTGAAACACTGCATAAAATGGCTGAAACTTTCTGAAGTCTAGAGTAAATATATACGTTAGTCCAACTGGCATTTTAACTGAACATTTATCAACGAGTTTCAGACAAATGATTGGAGAACGAAATCATTTGTCTGAAATGATTGGAATGGAGAAAATAAATGATTAGAGAACGAATATTTGCAGACAGTTCGTCACAATAAAGAAGAATAAAAAGTTCTTTCATCTTTATAAAATCGTACAACTTCTAACAACGTCTTACGTGATTTTTTGCGTCATGGCGGCCTCGTCTGCGTTTTGTCTATAAAACAGTTCCATCCAATGATATCCAGCGCCATCTGTTGGTCGAGAAAGATAACATCCCACATATGTGATACTGTAGACCAGCGTGTCCAACTTATCATAGCACGCGGGGCATATTTTGTTCACCAAACATTTTGGAGACCAAGAAGGTAAATAAATGAAAAGTCAGTTTATGTTAATTAAAACAATATTTTATTTAAAATATTTGTAATATATTAATGAGAACATTGTGGTCGTAAATAATGAAAAGTCAGTTTATGTTAATTAAAACAATATTTTATTTAAAATATTGTAATATATTAATGAGAACATTGTGGTCGTAAATAAATGAAAAGTCAGTTTATGTTAATTAAAACAATATTTTATTTAAAATATTTGTAATATATTAATGAGAACATTGTGGTCGTAATTGTTTAGCAGCGATATCTTCGTAATTGTTTAGCAGCGATATCTTTTATGTCCACATCAATATTTGTTATGGCAAGTCTAATTATATCTTCAAGAGTGGAATCTTTCAAACTGTTTCTATATTTTGACTTTATATATTTCATATCGGAATATGCATCCTCGCAGATATATGTACTTCCGAACATTGATACAATTTAAAGTCCAAAATCTCTCAATTTTGGATATTTCTCTTTATCTAAAAATTTGAATATTTCTATTCCACTTACTCCACGAGATGTAAAAAATGGATCAGGCTGCAGGTCGCATTCTATTTGATATTTAAAATCAACGAAGTTGATATCAGTATTAATTGGATCACAAAATAAATCAAGAGACGGTTTAAGATCATCAAATTGAGAAAATCTTTCATTGAAATCTGTAATTAGCATATCCAACTTTGGTAGAAATATTTTAAAATTAGCTGCTATATTACATTCCTTCATTTATTCATAGATCTCTTTGCAAGATTCGAAATGAAATAAATTATTTTGCTCCAAATTAAACCTTAACAATTTAAATTTGTTTCTAAATCCAGTAACATATTTATAAAGGCAACACACATTTTGATCTTGTCCTTGCAAGGATTTATTCAAAATATTTAAATAATTTGTAATGTCCGTTAGGAAAGCAAGTGAATAAATAAAATTTTGATCAACTAAATTTGCTGTCAAATTTTCATCGGCGGCAATTTCTGTGAGATAAAGATGAACTTCCTTTCGAAGTTTAAAGAATCTCCTCAAGCACTTTCCAGCACTTAACCAACGAACGTTACTATGTAAAAGCAGATCTTCATACTCAGTTTCCAATTCATCCAAAATGTTTTAAATTTTCGATGTGTAAGATGACGATTTCCGTCGCGAGTTAAATTAGTAATTTTGCAAACTTTGTCCATTACGTCTTTTATAGAGTTAGGGATAAACCACATAATGCCTCCTGATGGATAATACAGTGTAACATACGACATGTTATTCCTTCTTTTTGCAAAAGTCCCACGAGCCCAATTTTTTTGCCCGTCATAGCTCTAGCACCGTCGGTTACAATAGCAATGCACTTGTCAAATCCGCCATACTGCTCTACTGAACATTTTAATTGTTTGTCAATATCTTCACCTTTTGTTGTTACGTGTAATGATTGTAATTTTAAAAGTTCTTCTGAATAATTATAGTTTTCATTTACAGTTCTTATAAAGATAAGCATTTGAGACTTGTATCGGAAATGTCTGTGTTTTCATCCAATGCTACCGAAAAATAGCAGGAACTATTGATTAAGTTTTCTAGTTTATGCATCCTAATCTCTAATCATGCTATATTCGAACCATCTCTAATCATGCTATATTCGAACAGATTAGGATCTATGCATCCTAATCTGTGACATGCATCCTAATCTCGTTTATACGTCGGCTTACCGTCTGGTGAGAAAGTGATACTATTTGAAATTTTCCTACCATTTCGTTGTCATTAAATGCTTGAGCCATTTTTATGGTACATTTTTTATCAGAGGCGTAGCTAGGGTTTTTGGCGCCCGGGGACAAGTGACGATTTTGCGCCCCTTTCTCTGTGCCAAGAATGGAAAACATTTCATTCTAAAATTTCGTAACATCAGTTTGGCGCCCTCTGAATGCTGCGCCCGAGGACAGATGTCCCCCCCTTGCCCCACCCTAGCTACGCCACTGTTTTTTAATGAATTCTCCATCCAAAAATGGCTTCTTTGCCTTTGCTATTTCTAAACAAACTTCAAACGATGCAGCTACAGGTGCTTCTTCAAATTTTGGTTCTTGATTAAAATAAATCGTTTGATGATCCAGCTGCTTTTTCATTTTTTTTTCACTAGTGGTATTTTCATGTCTCGCGTGTACGAATGATACTTTTTTCATGCATGAAACGATAATGGCGCTTCAAGTTATATTCTTTACACATAGCTATGATTTGTAAACATTCCAAACACTGTGGTTTACCATTCTTGTTCAGAATAAATAAATAATCTATCTCCCAGCGATCTTGAAATTCTCGATTTTCGAGGTCTATTTTTCTTTTATTAGTAGCGCTCATATTCAATAATTATTTTAATTAATAAAAATTATTTAACACATTATTAATATTAATTATTAATAATAAATATTATAACACGTTATTAATAATATTATAACACAGTTACCCTTCAACAAATTCTAGACAAGACTGCACTCGCACGATTACATGATTCAACCAAATAGCGCAGGGTAGTGTGCGCATCACGTGCGTAGTTGCGCAAACATAGCGTAAGACAACATCCAACACAAATATAATATGTGGCGCCAACCATCATCAGACGTTAAACGGATTGCTGCTGTATTCAGCCAGCTTAAGTGAAGTTACGCAAACTAAATAGTACCTACTTTAAATTCAAATTAGATTTAAATTTTCACACAGTAAAATAATTTTAATATTAATAATAATAGTTTAGTAACATGAATGTATTCATAGTAAAATGTACTCGCGGGCGGTAAAAATAATTTGGCGGGCAGTGTACGGCCCGCGGGCCGCCAGTTGGACAGCCCTGCTGTAGACGAATTTCATTACTTAATTGTTAAATTCTATGTATAGTTATTCCATAATTAATGCACACATGTGAGAATGTTCTCAAGCTGTTCAATAACTGTTTAAATCAGACTCAAGAGAAATGTTTAAAGCTAATGTGATCCTATTATTAGACGGAAGCAAAAATATTTAACCTAGAAATTTAAGAGTTTTATTTTGCATAAAATATTTTCCCCTTTTTATCATAGGCTGTTGTCATCTTCAGAATACAATTTTGTTTTGTAAAAATAAACCATCTGCTGCTACAAAGAATTCGGTACTAATAATGACAGATAACTTTTGATACAATGAGAGAAGGTGGATGTTATCATGTGTTAATCATGGCACATTTTTTTTAACTGTTCTGTCTCTCATTGTTCGAATATAGCATGATTGACAGAGAAAGAGAGTCAATGAGATATTGCACAAATGGTACACTAAAGTAAATCATACGACTAGTCAGAACAATGTGATAATATGCAGGTGCGGCCATCATATTTGAAATGTTCTGTTCAAAAAATGTATTCATTCATTCACACGAACTTCAAAAACTCCGTGTGTTATACAATAGTTAAAATGTTAAGGTATTTTCTATTTAAATGCTCTGTAAGGAGTTACGTTGACTTCCTAGCATTGCACTTGTTAGAGTTGATTCATGTTTGACTCCTTACAGTTACATTTTTATTTTTGCAAACATACTAATTATCATGGACAAGAAATATGTTGCGTTAATAAAAAAATGACCGCCCGGTTGTCGAAGTGGCTAGCGCGTCGCGCAGCTACACCTTAGGTCCGAGGTTCGATCCCCGAGCTGGGCAAGGTGGACTCAGCCTTTCATCCCTTGAATGGGTCGATAAAATGAGTACCAAGTTCGCTTGGAGATTAAACACCTGGGGTTCTACGACAACCTGACACCTTGCCCAGGGCATATGCTGATGCACCCCGGAGTCCAAGATCAGGAAAGGAGATTTTAGAGCACTGCAGGCTGGGGCCTACTAGGGCTGTTGCGCCACTGAGTTTAGTTTAATAAAAACGTACTAAAACGTTACCTTGAGTTTGATAGTTTTGTTTTGCGGCACAGTGTGTCCAGTCTGAACACACCTAAAAATTTCCTTTTCTACCCACAGAAAATTGAATGAAAAAGGATTTATAGGTTACTCTGAACCTTCTTTATTTATAGTAGATGGCAGCTCAGCACAAACCAGTCCATATATTTTAGCCATGTTTAGTTTTTTTAAGACCCTCATTTTTCAAAGAACTTTCCAGATTTATTTTTAGGGTATAAAAGGAATTGTTTGAAAAGAAGTTTCTATGTTATTTATTTGGCTGTATGCTAATCTCCTTATTCTATATTAGTTTCACATTCTTACCTTGAAATCTTGCTTAAAATCAAACGGCAAACACTAGGTGTGCCCAGACAGGGCTCACCGATAATCTAGGACAACTGAGAGTCTGTATTCTTTGTTTCTCCGCATTTAATTGACAACAATGCTCGTTTTAGCAATCATTTCGAAGCTCTACTCCAATCAGTGTGCCCACTTTGGGCACACCCACAAAATTAAAACGATAAGTGCTATCTTCACAAAATTTTACTTGTGTACTCCTCTAGGCCTAATTAGACTGCCTACCTTTTTTTTTTTTTTTTTTTTTTTTTTTTTTTTTTTTTTTTTTAAATCAAAACTCCGAGTTAAAAAGGTAGCGTGGTGGAAAGGGTTAAATGAGCAAAATAACAGAAAAATTGGATCCATCTTATAATCAGTGTTAAGCGTTAAGCGGAACGATTTTTATTTAGCCCACTTAGAGTATATTTAGAGTATAACTTTTGAAGAAAGCCGTATTTAATGTTTGTTTTTCGTCATTTCGGTTTTATATTATTTTCTGATGAGCATTAAGATCTTAAAAGCCGCCGTGCCCGTATAGTGGTTAGCGTCATTGGCTGCCGTCCCGAAGGGCCGGTGTTCGAATCCCTGAGAAGGCATGGATGTTTGTAAATGTATAGTGTCAGTGCGGCATAGCGGCATTCTAAATATGCGGAATGCCGAAAGTGCTCTCGTGAGGTTTGGTGAGAAACCCTCGGACCCGTCCCCCCCGGCGTGCTCTCCATCAAAATTGGGGGCGAACTGAGCAAAATCACACTTTTACCTTTTAGGTTCTCAAGGCTGTTGCCAACGACAAACATAATCTTGCGCTCCTTGCCATAAGGAACTTCGTGGGCTTAGGCTGAATACCTCAAACAAGTGAAAATAATAAGACCTTAAAATAACAACAACAATAAGACATTAAAAATGGTGATAGTTGTAAAAATCAACGCGAATTGCTTTCGTAATCAAATGATGAAAAAAGCTTATGGATCATTAATAATTACCAGCAGTAAATCTTTTAAAATTTGTTTAGTATCTAAAGAAATACATTCTGGGGTCAAACAAGCTGCAACCGAGAAGGCATCTGCGTTTAAAGGGACCCTTAAATCATTAATTAAATTTAGAAAGCAATCTCTCTCTCTCTATATATAATGTATATATATCTTGTGTGTTAAGGTGAGCCCTCTCGAAAGAATTCAGACAAAATGGGCCCTCGCTTAATATATCAGCTATTGAGTGTCTTAATAACACGTTGAGGGTGCCAATATTCCAGTTTATTGCTTTCATATGTATATTACTGAAATAATTAAATCTTAAGAAGATGAATTCTTTTTTTCTCTTCTGTCCACAAGAAAAGGTTTGTAGCTCGATAAGAATTAATTAATTAGAGTTTACGGTGCTGAAGATATTTATAAAAAATTAAATTTCGTACAGTTTTATTCAAAGATGTTACGTGACTAATACTGTCATAGCCCGAAAGCTTGTCTTATTCGATTCGTTTCTTAAAATGAAATGATACATCTGTAATCAACCAATGAAGATAAATTGGCCATATTGTCTTTTTGGAGCACTTTACATACAATGCCATCTTAACATAAGGGCATTATGAGCCCCAGTTGCAGACCAACTATAGAGGGAGATTTTGGTAAATTCTTATATAATAAGGGTTATATGTGTAAGATTCTAGCTGTATTAAAACTACTTTACTGGCTAAATCTTTACTTCAACTGTGAAACGATTATTCGCTAAGTTCAAACTGTATTAACCCTTTCGCTGTCCTCTCCTGTCCGCGAAAATTTCTCCACAGCGGGCCTTTGTTTTTGGCAGTGGGTAATGTTGTTTTCTCTGTACGTACATAACTTTCGTGGTGGATGAATGTAAATGATTATTAAGTAAAATTATAAGGAAATAAAACATAATGGAAAAGTAATAATATCTCTGCTTATTTCTAATAGCAGGATTAATTTGATAACATCTGATCCAGGTGGTCCACTCCTCCCATTTTGAGCCATCTTTCACTGTCTTGTATCTTATGTAAAATGGCGCGAATATTCATAAAACCCGGGGAAAATTCAATTAGAAATAGAATGCCTGATTAGTACTGCCCTCTAGGAGGTATTAGAGCAAACAAAAATAAAAACTCAAACAAGTAAACATTTAGAAAGCGTTTTAAACGTTTACGAGTTTTAAAATGTAGAAGGACGCTTGAAGCGCGTTACGCCGCCCTGCAGAAGTTTCACTTGAACGCGCTAGATGCTTTACGGACGACGAAGAGGTTAATGAGAAGGCGTACGAAGGGTGAAAAGATCCTTTTATTCAACTCAAGAAAGGATTTACACTCGGTAGTCCCGGTGCTTGTAACTTAGCCATTACTTTTGGCTGTAACTCAAAATAGAAATACAAAATTAAAACTAAGTTAAATGATCAGCTGAAGTTGCACAGAGATAATTAACGCTAGTTGTTTCTTATCCCTGCCACCGACGTAGACAAACCATCAAGCTTAAATCAGAGAAACAACGTGGCAGAACACTCTCTGTCTGAAGCAACTCCGCTTAAACCCAGCTTAAATAACGTCTTCCTATCCTACTTTGCATATCACACGAAACTGAAATATAACTTTGGCAGAAAACGGAAATGAGAGAAAATAGAAAGTAAATAATTGAACAAAACTGGTTAGTTTAAAACTAAATAAGTTCTTATATAAGACAAGTAAGGACTACAGAACTATTTAAAAGCCAAAGAGCTCATGAATATGTTAACATTGCACAGTCTGTATATTTTTGGAAAATGACACACGTTCAAGGCACTGTTGAAACTCGATTTACAAGAAAGTGTTTACCACACCTGGTGTGTCACAGCAGTATCGAGCTTGTCTGAAGCGACGGGGTTCTAATCTTGGGTGCAGTTTGAAGCACACAGTTCCACCAGCTGTAACATATTATCTCAGAATTTTGATTTGAAAAAACCTGATGAGTTTGTTTTGCTATGGCTTCTATGTTTAACTTCTTATCAAAACACTGAGTGGCATTTGTAAAATTAATTTATGCACTGTATAGTAAAATGCTGACAAAGTCAAACAAAATTCACAAGTAAATTCTACTTTTTGATATTCAGTTATTTTTTCTTGTTTATAGGCGATCCTCCTTCGGTTGAAATACCACAAGGACCCTATCCAGTAATTGTGGAGAGGGAAGACGGCTCACGTGCACTTGTGGTGCAAGATTTCGCTTTCGGAAAGTATCTGGGCTACCTCCAAGTCCTATTCGATGATGAAGGGAAAGTTGTGGACTGGAGTGGGAATCCGATATTACTGGATGCTTCCACACCAGAAGGTAAAGCATATTATCTTTCACAAAGGTATTACTAACAGTTACCTTACTTGTAGTATTCTGATATGGTTTATTTGTATGTTTCTTTATATTTCTGCACTGCTATGTGCACCTTGTCTAAAAAGACATTTGCATTAACATGTTCTCTCCCCCCCACCAATTTGAACATATTCAAACTCCCCTTGCACCATAAATGTACAACACGGGGATTACAAAACTGAGTTAATTAACGTTACATGCATTACTAAAACACACAAACAAACAGCAGATCTAGACTTCAGTAAAATAGATAAGTTCATTGATTAACCCTTTTACCGGCCTGAATATATTTCGTGTTTGAACGCTATGCACCAAAATAAAAGAGGGAATAGTTCTACATCTCCCATTCTATTGGGCAGATTGAGGAAATTTAACTTGCATTTATCATGCCTAGAAAGCATGTTTTAGGATATATATTAGATTTATATATATCGTTGTTCTAACCTACGTATTTTTGACACAAAATCGTACTTTTTCTGAAATAACATAACTATTCTATTCCGTATTTCGATTCTACGATTCAAACTATGCCAAAGTATTAAATATTGTGAATTTTGGTGAGAAACTTACCAAGGAATTAAAAATTCATCTCGGCACACTTTTTTCGTTTGCACCAAGAATACTTCCCTTGGCGAAATTCTTAAATTACGGTAACATATTTTTCTTTCCCTTTCACTGTGAACGAACGGAAAGAAGTGCATGGTTTATTCTTTTGAAATGATTTTAACAAAGAGTTTTAACAATTTGTTATAAGGGATAATAAAAACCACATCTGGCATTATTATCCCTTATGACAAATATGCCAAGTTTCAAAAAGCGCCAATATATAAAAGTTCTCGTACATCTTGGGAAATTTTGAATAAACAGCTCTAATTTTTTGAAGTTATGCTTAAAAATACATTTGCGTTAACCCTTTGACGCGCGCGATATTATTTTTATAACTAAAAACTCTAGAAATTGAATATTATAATCCTAGAGACAAATAATATAGGAATTAAAAGAAATCTACTCTTGCCCATTGTTTTGTGGGTGTGGTCGCACTGTGAAACCACCGCGCGTATAGGACTTTGAAACTTACCTAGGTAGCAGGAAAAAAAACTTACCTTTTTCCGTGCGCGTTTCCAATAAATGACGAAATTTACGAATTTTTGAAATAAATGCATGTAAGAATTGCATAATATATATATTTTACATTATTTTACAAACTAAATCGTCGGAAAAAATTTAAAAATAAACATTTATGTAATTTTTCTATTAGTAGGGAAAGTATAAGTACCTACATAATAAAGGACGTTTGGCTACATGGATTAAAAAACTTCAGTAAAATAAGGATATAAAAAAGACACCACAGTGTTTTTTTTTTTTTTTTTTTAAATTTCAAAGAACAAGATATTTTTTGTGATACTGTTCAAAGCATCTTTTGTCTTTTTAGTACATGCATAGACCCACATTGCATGTTTCACACATGTATCTTCCATGATGTTTCTTTCTTGTGCTACAAAATGTACACTGATTGGATCTAAATTTCCCCGGTTTATGTCCAGAGTTATTTAGTTTCTTTTCATCTGGCACATGACATTTGTGGTTTTTTTATGTTAATGAGGGGGAGGGCTTGGTCTTTTTGGCTTTGGTACGGATCATTCGTTTCCCATTCATACTTATTTTATTCGTATTTCGTCTCAAAATATTCAGAATATATTTTTAATTTAAATAAAACTTAACGCGATTTCTATTTTTAATTACAGAAAAGTATATTTACATTAAATTTAAATCACAGGAAATAATTTATAAAATCACAATACTAGCTTGGAAAGCAAGTGTGTTGAGGTCAGAGAAAAGTCTCTAGAAAAGAAAGACCTCTTTACTGCGCAGGTGCATGTATTGCTTAGTAATAAAATAAATCTGTGATTTCAAAACCCCTTATCAGGGTAAAAATAAACATTCCTATTTGAGAAGCAAGCAAACGCCATTGTAAAGAGCAGTGGTTTCAAGGCGCGACCACCGAGCCTCTAGAGCATTGTGGCTCTAGTGGGGCAGTGGTCGCGCCCTGAAACTACGAGTACAAAGCAAATGCCATACATATAGAGGGGGTTTTTTTTTTATATCTGCAGTTTAATTATTGCTATTTTTTATTGTTTATGATAGAAATCATGATGCAGATGAATAACTTTTGAAATTTAAAGTTGTTTATATTAATAAAAGTAAGTTATTTTATCTCATTTAAAAAGGAATTTTATAAGGCATCCGATTTGAAGTACTAAGATCTAAAACATGTATGATTCTGTAGTCATTTTGGGTTATTTAGAGATCAAAGATCAGTAATCAATTTATTTTCACTCATAAATTTCCGAAGGAAGAGGAGAAAAAAATTCGAAAATTGGTGGTTTCAGGGCGCGACCACCAATTGCTTGCGAATTGACGTATAGGTCCAGATTGCCATTTTTAAGACTTTTTAGTATGACTACGAGATTGCGTTTTAAGCTAATTTTGGTCGGCGATGCAACCTATATCACATACGTAAATTATATGTTTTAATTCTGCTTTTTTACATTCATACTTTTTCTTTTAGCGTTTGTTGCTTATTTTCTTCAGTACGTGTGTATTTATATTACAATGATGACACTGTTTAACAGCATATCATTATTGAAAATATAAGAAAAGATGTTTATAGTTTTTCCCTCCATATTTGTTAAATTAGAAGTTTAAATATCTATTTTTGTCTTAAAACATCGAGCACGCACTCAGGAATTTTGCCACGATTTTTTCATCCGAAAATAAAATGTTATGAACGTAATTGCGATGCAATAGAACCCAAATTGCATTTTCTCTGTTATTTTTGGTACAACTGACAAAAACATTAAATTGAGAACCTTTCCATTAAATAAACTTCCACTAAATAAAAAACATTTACACGAGAGCATTGCTGTTAAACATCTTGGCAAATTAAAAGCCGTGATATTCTGCAATTTTCATGAACAAAAAAAAAAAAAAAAAAAAAAAAAAAAAAAAAAAAAAATAAAAAAATAAATACTTAATCATTTTAGATGCAATTCCTGTACAATTTCTTCTCAGTTTACTGTCGTTTTGCAAATGAACAGTAAGTACCGGTAGATTTTTACATGAAATTTGAACTATGATTATGGCATCATAGTTTAAGCACTTTTATCACACAGTGACACTGTTGTAAAGACACCTTAAAATTACTCTTATCCTTATGATAACTTCTGAGTCGAAAAGATTTATTTATTTGTACTAATGATATTAAACACTGTTGTAGTTGTTTGGTTGGCTGGTATCTTGTCCATCAAAGAGCCACGATTCATAAGCTCATGAGACAGCTTTAGCAATCTGTTTATACAGTTTTTGCAGATTAAAGCTATGAAGAATCAATCGACTGTGTTATATTTAATAAATGAAAATAAGCTGAACTTCTCAATCAAGCGATTTGAAATTTGAATTAAATTCAATCCAACAGAAAGACAAGACTGATAGCTACCGCTCAACAAAAAATGAGATCGTTATTTCGAATGACTAGACATTTGCAATTTAATGCATTTGCTAGAAATGACCAACACCCATCTGTCATTTACCTTTGCGATTATCGAGAAAGTTGCCCAAGGTAAGATTCTGGGGGGACCGATTTTACACTTACGAGAGCGGAAAAGTTCTGTACCATTTGGTACCATAGGGAATGGGCCGAGGATTTCTCACCCTTCTTTCCCTATCACAAAATCATTAGATAGGCAAGAATGGGATTATTAGATATTGTTACGTTATTTTCTTCCTTCACGTTCGTACGGGGTTAGTAGATTTGGAGTGAATAACGACGACACTTGATGAAGTATCGAAACACACTTTATTTAGACAATATTAATCAGGACAACTCCAAAGTCACTTTTTACAGTCGTCGAAGATCTACTATAAACACCCTGGAACAATCAGCGACACAGCTTTCAGGTTATCAAGCTATCACGTTGGAGACTGCTTCACTGCAAAGCACCAGAGTACAGCTCCCGACTCTGCTTGGTCGTTCTCGGAACTCCACGTACTCTCGAGACTTCAACTCGCGATGTACTGGACGACACAATGAGCACAGCTCCCGACTCCTCGGCTCATTCGTTCCCGGAGCTTAACACACTCTCTCAACGATGCACTAACCGCGATATACGAAGACACTCTTTCGATGCAATCGACGACCCACTCGGCACTCGCTGCCCGGCTGTCAACTCGATCGACTCCGCCTGGACTGACTCGCTAGACGAGACACCAACTATCTCGCAGTCTCTGCAGGGTTTATATAGCTTTCGGCTTGTGTTCGAGAACATTCTGGGTTAAACCGGTAAGAATTCGTTCCAGAAGGTTCTCCATCCGTTCATGGCATATCGCCAATTTTGTCTCCAAAATCGGCGATTTCTCGCCGAATGTGCCAACCCTGTTTTACCTTGCCATTTTATGGCAACCCTAAACCTGCTTTGCGGGGAAGCTATCTTACCGCGCCTGTACATTTCGTAACAATATAAAAATAGTAGTTTTGTTGATTTTTATGTTGCTGAAGAACATTATTGATCATCTGCAACCATTTGCAAACATGTCCATAAAGTATGGGAATTATACATTTAGAAGACGAGAAAGGCCACACAAAGTTAAATAACAAGTACAATATTTGCTTATTAGAGATACGAAAATCATGAACAACTTTATATTTTTCAGATCAGGAGACCCTTGAACTGCTGCAACCATATGCCGAGGATGTGAAGCGCCGTTCGAGACAGACAGTGGGCCAAACAAACGTCTTGCTACGTGGTGAGCGTCTAATATGTCGCATGCGGGAGTGCAATCTGGGAAACTTTTTGGCGGACGCATCTCTCAGCAATTTCATTGAAAAACCCACAGAAGAAGGCTGGAATTTCGTTGCTGTCGCTCTTTGGAATTCTGGTGGAATACGAGCATCCATCGATGAAAGAATAAATGAAGGTATACAATTTGAAACTGCTAACTTTAGCAGCACAACGGATCATCCGTTACTAACCACTAACAACTCATGTATATTACCATAAATCCTAGATTTGATCAGTTTTTCGACGAGTGGTTTGTTGGGTGCCTCGAATTTCATGGCGTACACTAGAGCGCTTTAAGATCTTTAACATCCGCCATTCGTATAGCTTTTTGTATTTCAGGATCCCGGATGCCGTCGATGAAATACTGCAGGGACAGGATTTCTCTTGTTTCTCTCGGGCCTAGAGGCGAGGTGGTTCCTGAATGTTGGATTGAAGCCTGCTGTAGTCAACATCCAGTTTCGAGTCAATCGGAGCGTGGGATTGGAGGGGATTTCGTGTGCCCCGGATTTTCGAGCTGGTGATTGCGTCCGAAGGTGAGAATTTTTAATTTTTGTTTGAAAGCCCTTTCTCAAAGTTCCAACCAAGCGCTCGGTTTCTATGCAGGCAAAAGCTTTAACAGAACTCGTCAAACATTTTCTCTTACAATCCAGGCTTACGAGGCAAAGGCCAATAAATTTTGCGATCAAACACTTCTGACACCAAAAATTGTTGCGTGCGTACGGGTTCGTTACGAAATGAATGCACAAGTCCGATGAAAAATGAACAAAAATTTATTATTATCACAACAAATATGCTTAAATTTCTTAAAATATTCGTGCAGTATTACAATATCTCACATTTTTAAAACAATTTACAATTTTCTTTTTAATAAATTAGGATCTCCAAAATTCTCTTTTCAGGAGCCTTTAAACCCGTGAGGTTTGCTTAGTGTTCATGAAATAAAAATGAGTAATTTGTGCCATTTTGAAACGCACTTGAGTTAATAAATATAAGGGAAAAATTAGAAATGGTTTAGATTTTAACTGTCACCGGAAAGGGTTGTTTTAAAATTTAATATCATTTAGAAAATGAGGTTCTCAATAGAGATGGTCCGGGTGGTATAACGAAGCATTTTATAGATTAAGAGATGAAAATACATTTAGGCTAACATTACATATCACCTGCCTGTTTGAAAAGTGAAAAAATATATATTGTAATTCTTTAAAAATATTTAATACTTTTGTTTAGACATGTCATGAATTGAATGCATTTTTATTTAAATGAATCAGATTAAAAAATAAAAAATAACAATAGATGCAGTCTTTGTTTTAATTAGCTGAGTTTGTTAATCAATAAGAGAGAATTAATTTTGAAAAATCCAAAATGGTAAAAGAATCAAGTGAAACAACGCATTTACAGTGACGTACATGTAAAGAGAATCAAGGCAAAATCGTGTTTCGTGCCTAATAACTCTTTTAGGCTAACAATGATGGTGACTGCCAAAAGCATTATTGTGTATTAAGAGTTAATTAACGTAACACAGAATATGAAATAAATTAAAATTCTAAAGGTTTACAATAGGGTGCCCTATCGGCCAGTCGGTATAGTGATCAGGGAAGCTGACTGCGATGCCGAAGGGCCTGGGTTCGAATCCCGGTGAAGGCATGCTTGTAACTGTCCGTTCCTTCATAAGAAAGGCGATGATCGCCCACCTATTAGGTGCCTCCATAATAAAAGTGTGGTGTGGAGTATTTAATTATGGCAAATCACACTAGGGCTATCTGCCTAATGGGAGGGATGCCTTCGAGGAGGACTTTCTAAGGGAAACTGGCTCGTATACACGTTACACATGGGGAAAACCACGAAAACGCCCATGCAGCCAGCCCGTTCGCGGGATTCGAACCTCGGACCGAACTACCAGTGTTCAGCGACTTTACCGGTCAGCCGCTGGTGGGCCAGAATCTAAAGGAAAGGTAAGGTTAGATTAGGGTATTTGAATATGGCTAAGCACACTGGTTATCAGCCTGAAGAAGAATGCTTTTATGAAGAACGTTATAAGGGAAACTGGTTCGTATTCGCAAAAAACATGAAAAAAAAAAAAAAAAAAAAAAAAAAAAAAAAAAAAAAAAACCTGCACAGCCAAGCTTGTTCACCAGGATTTGATCTGAAATTCTAGCCATATTTCACGAAAGATTTCACTTGTACCTGCAGCGAATGTCTTTAATTGCGTCTTCGTCCTTCCTTTTATGGTAGTCTCGAGTGGAGCGCACGCGTTTTGCGTACGATCACGTAGCCTGTAACGTTTTTTTCCCCGGATATTTGAATATGCATGACCTTTCTACTGAATTGCGTGTTAATTGTATCGATAGCAAGAACACCTTTTCTGCAACTGCGTGGTTATCTGATTAAAATTTGCACTGTTGCTTAAGTTTTGCACACTAGTGTATTTGTATAACAGATTACACCATTTTAAGTAGCTGTTACCTAATGTCGATTAGAGCAATTTTCGAAGGACGAAAGGTGACAGTGCTAGCAGGTGCATTTAGAACAATTCGTTTCTAATACAAAAATCGCATAATGTTTTATTGTCAATAAGATATTTTTTGGAAACTTTTAGAAAATTATTTCCATTTGAATGATCGTCTGCTGTTTGACCAGCTGACTGCGATTTCTTGTTTGGAAATGTTCCCTTTGGAGAGAGGAAGGGAAAATTTAAGGTTTCGTTACAATTTTCCTGGGATACCTTTTAACTGATTATAGACTGGAATTTTATGTGCATTAAAGTATAAAAACACAAAACGATAAAAATTTAAATCACAACCATGTTATTTTAAAGGTATTTATTTTAAAAGATTTTAAAGGCTTCACTAAAAAACTTCTGATGCTAGTTTGCGAATCAAACTGGTAAAAAAGTTTTCATAAAAAAATAATCTTTTTAAAAAGAAATAACATGTGGTTGCGGTGCAAATTAGGTGAGTATTTTTTTTGAACATTTAGTTCTGTACTCGAACCTGTGCATGAAATCAACCAAAAAATTGATTGGACCTTGAAGCGCGAATTTTGAATTTCGAATTGCGTTTTATTTATTTCATATATGGTGCGAATTTACGGAACTTCTGACTCAAAACTCAACGATATAAAAGTTTTGTGTCGCCATTTGGTAGAATATAAGATAGGTATGTGACAAATTTAATCAGAAAACTTGACAATATAAAAGAAGAGTGCTGCCAGTCGGGAAAGTGCAATATATTTGTCATTCAAATTTAATCAACAAACTCAGTGATTTAAAAGATAGAAGTTACCATGGCCCAGATTTAAATATTTTCACCTTCCGCCTACGTTGCCGTTAAACGAACTGTAATATATTTAATTTTTCTTTCAAATTCATCCTGTTATTAATTAACAAACTAAGCAATTTAAAAGTAATAATCTCAGATTCAATTAAGTTATTATAAATTACTAGCTAGACCTGTGAAACTACATTAGCTGGATTAATCAAAATAATTATATATATGCTTCTTCTTCTTCTTCTTTTTTTTTTTTTTTTTTTAATAACTGTTTTTAGAAGTTAGCCCTCCAAGTAGCTAGTCGCTATAAAAAGAGAGCGAAAAGTATGATGGACAAAAATGCCGCATGCAATAATATACTGTAAATTAAGGTCTTATGCACTTTATTCCAATTATGAATTTGATTGTTAAAACATCTCGAGTGGGCACCACATGACTTCCATGTAAGGTCTATTAAACTATACACATTTTTTGGTTGATTTCATTTAAACTTATTTCTTCGCATTTTGTTAGAGATATATTTCTCATTTACTTAACTCAGTCTTACTACGCGGGAAGGCAAAAATACAAAAAACTCAAAATGTGTTCATTAAAATTTGTAAAATACAGAAAAACATAAAATACAGTTAAAAAAACACTTTTCACGATTAAAATTAGAGTTTCTGTGGGGGAAAAAGTGTTAAATTGTTGATAATTCTACAACTACTGCCTGCTGATTAATTAAAAGCAATAAAATCCTTAACTCGAACATAAGAACAATATAATTCAATCAGTTTTAAAGCAAGAAATACACAGTTTACCAACATATAAGAATACAAATATGTAAGTTCATTGAGGCGGGTTTCGGTTTTTGATCTCAAATGAACCAGGGGAACGAAACATGTTTTCGAAGCATATTAATCAACTTTTATAAAGCTTTAATTCATTTTGCCCTGATGAGTTCTGAACTGGTGTTTCAGTAAAAGGAGATTAATTTTTATATTTTTATTATCTTGTATATTTTTCCCCTTTTGCATTTTTAGTTTTGGAGTTTGTATTAATATGATCCCTTTTTTAAAATTGAATTATTTAGATATTACGTTAAACCTCTTATGCAAGGATGCAGTTACTAAGATTGTTGAGGAATTGCCTTGCTTTGACTCCCTCCCATTTACTTTCAACTTTAGATGCTTTAAGTTTATTTTACTTCAATCCTGCAGCTATAATGTATTTATATGTACATCTGCATGTATATGTACATCTGTTTATGTTATATGTACATCTGCACGCAACACTTATACAGTTATCAACAATATAATATATCGCAATTGTCATTCCGAAACTAGAAACAAGATTCTTTTCGACCTTCAGAACTACAGTCTTGCAAATTTACACATTGCATGCGAATGCCCAGGATTGTCTGCAAGCGAGGGATATATATATATATACATTAGCATGCAATTTGATATTTTACTAAATACTAATATGTCGTGTATGTACACTCTGGGGAAGAAAAAAAAAAAAAAAAAAAAAAAAAAAGCAGAGAGGAACAGTTTTACTAGGCCGAGATTAACGCGAAATTTAACTTGCGTTTCTCATGTTTTGAAAGCACGTTTTAGGATACATATTAGATTACACACAACGTTGTTCTGTCATACGTATTTTGACACAAAATCGGACTTTTTCTGATATGACATACCTATTTTTTTCCATTTTCCAATTCTACGACTTAAATAATGCCCAAATATTAAATTTTGTAAAATTTGGTGAGAAAATTAATTAAAAAATTTTTCTTGGCACTCTTTTTTTTTCAATTTGCGCTAAGAATACTTCACTCGGCGAAATTCTTAATCGTGAGTTCGTTGAGTTCATGAATCAAAAATTCGTTAAAGTTTCGCAAAATATGAAATAGATAATGAAAAACAAATTCCAAATTTGGGCTTCAGATGCCCATATTCGAGTAAAGGACTACGTTATTCAAAATTTGATGTCTCTAGATAACGATGTTTTTTCACAATGCGAGAAACACACACAATAATGCACAATAATTCATTATTTAAATTCTTAAAATATAATCTAGGGTTCTAATATTTGGTGGCAATATTATATGTATTTCTAATATTTGGAAAGTGATTCAGACTTTTATAGTGAATCAACGTAAAATGTCAAATCGAAATTATGCGCTAATTATAATAATAATCTTATTAAAAAGGATAAACAATTTACTTTTAATTAATTATTTAACTAATATTGTCCTTTTTAATACTCCAGTTTCAGCAAAGAAAAAGTGATTTTAAATAAAAAATTGCCCAAACGGAAAATATCCACTTTTCATACCAGTTGCTAAACTAGATGAAAATTTTCAATGTTTCAAAATAAAAGTTTTGATTTTAGATATTACATATATTTTTGAAGCAACACTTAAGAGATATTTTTGCAGGTAATATTACACTGGAAGATATACTAGCTGTGGCACCTTTCGGCAACACCATGGATGTCGTAGCACTGAAAGGAAAGCATTTGAGGGATGTCTTAGAATATGCTGTCAAAGACTACGATTTGGATGCTTATGATCCTCCCGGAAGTCTTTTGCAAGTGTCAGGTATAGAAATTCGTAATTTATTCCTTTTTGGCGTCCGACAGTTGTTCCCTTTAATATAAAGAATAAATTTTCACATTAAACTATTAGAAATCTCATGCCTATGACATTCATTTATAACTTCTTCCCTATCTGTTCTTAGAAACGAAAGCAAACGGATTCCAGTGGAAACTTGATGTTATTGAAATAAGACAGGGCACTCTCGATTATCGATTATAATCACCAACATAGACTTATTTCAAATAACTGAATCATTTTCAGTGATGATGGATAGAGAACATTATTTTCCAGCCGAAACTTGATTTTATTGGAACAACACAAGGCACTTTGGGCTTTAATCACCAACGAGGACTTATTTGAAATAACTGAAACATTCACAGAGATGATAGATATAAATCATTATTTTCCAGCCGAAACTTGATATTATTGAAATAAGACAAGGCACTTTGGGTTGTAATCACCAACAAGGAGTTATTTCAAATAACTGAATCCTTCTCAAACATGATCGACAGATATCGTCTCGGACATGATCGATAGCGCAAATTGATATGTAAAACATTTCAAGACTGGGAAAAAATCAAAGCGTTCTGCATGAAAATCCTAATGCGAAACTGCTACTTTGTGTAGCATCTAGTCTTATTTCCCTCTTTCATAATTTATTAGTCATCCTTTTTAACTAGGGTTCCTGATTTAGTAATTTGTCCCTAGTACAGAACTTTACTGAACTTAATTGCAAAACAAGACCATCTTAAAAATATGCATAGTAAATACCGCTTAACGTGAACGCGATTAATACACTCGTGTGCAAAATTAAGAGAATTCGCAAGTTATGTTCGCAAGTTATATTTAAGAAGCGTATTGAACCAGAAGTACTAAGTATGCAGTCGAAGAATTATGCAAATATTCACAAAAAATCTAGTCAAATACGTAAGAGTACACGCAAGTGTCAGTGATCTTTTACAAGGAAATCTTAACTGGAGAAGCTTCATTTTTGGACTTTTACATACATCAGGACCCTAAGGGGACCCATTCGGGAATCTGGAAAGAGCAAGAGTAGTGCATCTCCAGCTGCATGCCTCTGAATAACCAAAACGTATCAAAGTATCAAAGAGTGTCTATGGAACTGTGATTATTAAGAGGACTTAAAGCCCACGAGGGGTTTTCGGTGATTTGTGTCATTGTACTCCTTTACGACATTCATTACGTTTCTGGGAAGAGCTGGGTAGTTTCATAAGATATCAGATAAAATGAATAGCCACGAAAGTATGGATGACGGAATGAATTGGAGAATTTTTCGGTAGATTGGATGCAGACCAATCGCAAGCGCAGGTGTCTTCAGATCTCAATGTAATGCCCAGTGTCTTTTGTCATTTGTTGGAACAGTTTCAGGCACTGGATCCACATCGAGAAGACATGGAAGAGGTCGACCAAGATCCACAGTGACGAATGAGGATAAATTATTTAGCACTTTCAGCTCGATGACACAGGACCGCTACAGCTTTACAGCTCTTACGTGATCTGTATGCTCCCACTGGAACTCGAATTTCATGGCCTTTAGTTGTCCGAAGGCGTCATGAGATACAACTGTATTCCAGAAGACCCGCTGTTTGCGTCACACACACTGCAGCAGGCAAGAGAGCGCGTTTGGCATGGCCCAGACAATATGTGCCTTGGACCAGACTTAAGTGAAGCACCGTGCTCCTTATAAATGAGTCAAGATTCAGCCTAGACTCTGATTATCAGTGTACCTGTATGTAGAGAGAGCCTGCAACTCGATATCAGCGATCCCTCGTCATGGAAGGGAATCCTTACGGTGATGAAGGTGTGTTGGTTTGGACTGGCATTATGTTCGACAGCCGCACGCCCCTTCACGTCTTTGAAGAAGGTTCCATGAGAGTTACGAGGTGTAGAGAAGAGATCTTGGAGCCGTATATCAGACATTTCAGCCACGTATTTAATCCTAGATTCCTGCTAATGGACGACAAAGCTCATCCTTATAGGGTTCTGCTCGTCGACGATTATCTAGAAAGAAAGGATATTCACCGCATAGATTAGCCAGATAGATCTCCTGGCCGTAATAATATACACCATGTCTAGGACGCTCTTGGGAGGGCAGATTCATTTTACCATCCCCCTCCGAAAATTGTCTTGCTGCTGGAGTAGGGTCGACTTCACCAGAGGCTCCTCAGCTGCTTCAGGTTTCGGAATCTGTCTGGCTATGAGAGAGGACTATACCCCATATTAGACACATTGTCAGTTCCCTATCTCAGTGGAGATTTTGGAAATCATATATAAATAATCGCATATATGACTTTTGAATAGTACATCTCTTTCTCTGTTATAAATGCATATTCATAGCAAATTTTACCAAAATTTGTCTTTTATAAATTCGACATAATGTCCAAATCTCTTCATTTTGCATACGAGTGCTATGCTTGCTGAAGTTCCGCCCGTTTGTACACAAAATCATGAAAAATACATCGCTCATTGTGATCAGCAATTCAGTTAATATAATCAAACTATTATAGAATAAAGTTTGAGACCAAATCATCAAATAAAAGGTAAATTCGGCACTAAAAGTTATGTTCGCCAAGGTCCGTTTTCATTATCAATCGGTTTCAATTTCAATCAAACGTTTAAAATTAGACCAATAAACACCAATCTTAGTTTGACGTAAATGCTGAATGTGTCGATTTTGAAGGCGATTAGACCTATTTATATATTTCTTGATATTTTTATATTAAATTTATTAATTTTCATTGCAATGTTGAAAGCTACATTGTTCATGTTATCAAAATAGAGGTGGACAAATGTGATCACATTAAGCCGCGTCTACTGTAAAGTCATTATTATTTTTATTTGGGGATTCCAGATTGGGGTAGTGGATATGATATTTATAAAAGTTCTGTTTCTTTACAAATAACAACTATACTGCTGGCACCCAAACTGCAACACCAAGAAAGACAAGAGATATCACAACAAAATTTATTTAGTAGATAACATGTTGACAAAGTATCAAATGGTTAAATTTATAGACTTCTGTGAAGTGTGGTTCCTTCCAGAATCAGTAGCCAGAGTAGCCGCCATTGTCGGAGATCACCGCTGCCACACGCCTCGACACTGATTCAAAGAGACTTTGGATGTGTTCTTGGGGTACAGCAGACCAAGCAACTTCCACACATTGCCAAAGTTGATCTGGTGTGGCAGCTTGGGATGTAATCTGGGTCAATCGTTCAGCAACCATGGACCACATGTTTTCTATCGGCGTAAGATCCAGAGATCCAGAGCCGGCCAGGGAAGCAGTTCAATCTGGCGATTGACGAAGAACCCTTGGATGATGCCTGCCAATGCGTGTGGTGGCGCATTATCCTGTTGAAATATGGCTGTGGGCAAGCCCTGAAGGTAAGGAAGGACAACTGGCTCCAACACCTCGGAGATGTAGCGCTGGCTGTTTAAAGTACCGGCAATGCGTATTAGAGGAGTGCGAGAGTGATATACAATACCGCCTCATACCATATTAATACTCGGTGCAGGATCAGTGTGGCGGCGCATAACGCAGCTGTTCATCATCCTCTTCCCACGGTGTCTCCACACTCGAATTCGACCATCGTGGTGTTGCAGACAGAAGCGTGACTCATCAGTAAAGACAATTTCATTCCATTCTGCCGTCCACATCCTTCTTTCATCGCACCATTGGCGGCGGAGACGTCTGTGGTTCTGGGTCAAGGGTAGATGAAACAATGGACGTCTTGCGGACAGACCACTCTGTTGTAAACGGCGTCGAATGGTACGCGCAGACACTGGATAATGCGCCCCAGACTGAATGTGCTGTGCTATGGTTCGTGATGTGACTGAGCGATCCGTCACTGCCATGCGCACAATGTTCCTGTTATCACGTGAATTGGTGCACTGAGGTGGATGCGATCGAACACGTCGGTCGGTCGTACACTCCTGCATCCAACGGTCACATATCCGCATTACAGTTGTTTGGTTTCGTCCAACACGACTACCGATTTCCCTGAAAAATAATCCACACTCTCGGTAGGCCACTATCCTTCCTCTGTCGAACTCGGATACTTGATCAAACGATGATCGCTGTTTGCTACCAGGCATAATCGATCGTTTTTTTTTTGAAAAAACTACATGAAAAACACAATTGCCGAACTCGAAATCGTCGAAAACTCCAATTCTTAAATAGCGCCACAGGCGCGCGTGATGTGCGTCAGCGATGAAATTCTAATCATTTGCTAATCTTACCTCCGCTAATGCATGCTGTAAATTTCATGTTATTTGCATGCTTCCTTCAGGGTGTTGCATTTACGGTGGCCAGCAGTGTAAATATGAATATAGCTAAGACTATACCTGCGGCAGTCAAAAAGTTCTCGGAATTTCGTTGTAACTCTTGATTTTCACAATATTGTTCAAAGTAGGCTCTTTCAAAACACATATTTGATCCACGGTTCATGACATTGTCGGAACAATGATAAAAGTCCTGTTGTGGTAGCTTCAGAAGTTCAGCACTCGCCTTGGTTTTGATATCTTCCACGGTGTCAAAACGGTTACCTTTGAGGGCCACTTGGAGGAGAGCTAGAAATCTCAATGGTACATGAACAGTCTGCACATAGGTTGATGTTTGCCCTTTGCTCGAACTTCGACATCGCTCTAACTCTTACTTTCAGGTTCTCTCCAACCCTAATTCTCACTATATGCCGTGATTTAGCATGCATATTGCATGCTGTGTTTCAGCTATCTTAAAGTATTGTGCTATAAACAGCGCTTTAAGCAGACAAATACTGAATCGTGGGCCTAGAAGGACAAGCGTGGATGTAGCGAGAGATCGGGTCATCAGGTGCGCGGCGAAAAGACAAGTGATTGGCTGCGAGATTCTAGGGTGATACTCTAAAAAATACATATTTACACACATTTAGAGGTACTAATACGGTCATGAAAGTTCATAAAAATGGTGATAGAACATGACATAAATAAATGGATTTAGGTTTCATCATATGAATTGCAGAAAAAGTGCACAAAAAGTGAAGGCAGAATCACGTGACAGAGTTCATGACAGCTGCGGAAGCTTATCGAAACGCTGCAGCCCGTCATACAAAAGGCATAAAAACAGTAAATACTGAAGAGTAAAGTGATGAAGGCACGACTATTTACATATATAGAAATTTGAAACAGACAAGTCCTAAAAAGATTTTCACCTTTTTTGGTGCTTTGGTTGCATATTCTGGTTTACAGCGGGAATTAATTCCGCTCTCACTAGAGCTTATAAAAAAAATCCTGGGAGAGGCCTCACGCATAAGGGCTTGTCAAATTGGTCGACCATAAAGGTGTGTACCTTAAGATAAAATACAGCAAAAATTAAAAAAAAAATATTGTCTCTGAAATCTACCTGGCGGGTGAGGATGAGATGACAGAAGACTACCATTGTCCTATCAGAAGTACCTTCAGCTACATTGCCGTCACACTATTGTGAACTTCGATCGTAAATAAATATAGTGGTAGCAAAAGAATAAATAAATTATTTTTGGAAGTAAAAGGTTACAACGAAATTCCGGGAACTTCTGGACTGCCCGTGGTACGTCTAACAAATTAGGGTACATTGGCTGGTTATTGCTCGCTATTGCAATCTAACATGTGAAAAAGGCGTTTTTCTCATCTTAGCTACATTGCATGTATTTCTGATTCCAGTTCGATGTATTTGGAAATTGGAAAGGGGCAAAATATGTCGAACTGTAAAAACTGACAGCTTAAACATTCTAACTTACGAAGAGTAAAGCATTGAATAAATGTAATGAATAACTTCATTTTAGAATAGATAATAAATTGTTTTTAATTTTCCTTATATTTTACAGGTCTTCGTTTGACGTATAATGTATCTGAGCCAGTTGGTTCCAGATTGCGTGAGGTATATGTACGATGTGCCAATTGCAGGGTACCAAAATTTCAGCCATTGGACGATGAAAGCGTGTACAGCGTTGTTATGAACACTTACATGGCAAAAGGTGGTGATGGATTCGACCTCATACAAAAGAATGCTCTCAGTAACAGGAACACAGGTTAAAATTTTTTTGTACTTACTCATTTTCAAATATTCCTTATTTATCTATCGACCATTTTAATATATAACCAGAACCTAAATATGCGACCCATGATCGGCATTTTTAACATACTTTGTTTTATGTAAACACGAAGGCATGATTTTATTTATTTTTTAGTGCTTTAGGTTTGTTAAAATATCATATATGTTGTTAAAATATGAGATTTTTTTTGTACAAGCAGCAACTTAGCGACAACTTAGCGAGTAGCGACGAACTCCTGCATATTCAATGTCATCTTGGCTAATGACAGAAGAGCTGTCTTGCCTAATGAAGAAAAAGGAATGTGATTATTCTTTGAAATCAGAACATGAAGTTTCAAATTTAATATACCATTCAACATTTTGTTCTGTAATAGTATACAATAGCATATTTTCTTCCAATGTGTAGTCACATTTCTGATACGCCCTGTAACTAAACCTTCGAAATCAAAAGAAATTATAATTGAGCTGTAGGGAAAATATTCTTAACATACTTGACAAATACTAATGAGAAATTTTCCTGTGAAATATTAATGGAAACTAACAAAGAAAATGGTAAAAAAGAGAAAGATTTTTAAATATATGGCTCCAAAATACGTAAATTTATTCTTAAATTGAAAACAACACCATGGAATGAAGGCCAGATTTTGAACTTTTGGGAAGGGTAACAAGTTTAGAGAGGGATGAATGATCGTGTCGGACAGAGGGAAAAGAAGCGTTTAGTCGCACGGAGAACAAGTCTGTGAAGGCCGCACACGCGCTCCATTGAAGGAATCAGCGTTTGCTTTCCGTGTTCGACAGGACTGGCTAACTCGTTGAATCATCTTCGTGTTAGGTATAGGAGCTCGTAATTGTTCCTCTTGAAGAGGAATTCCCAGGAAACACGAGCTATAAGCTGATTTTGATTATCTTCCTGCCCTCCGTACACACCGTCCGTCGCTATTACCATAAAGGAAAAAGATATTTATTATACGTGCTTTCGCCGAGCCAGAAGGCTATAAAGTTGGCACCTACACTGCCAAACCCCTCTCAGAACAGTTCCGGAGGTTCAACCTCCTTCTCCGCTTCCTGTAGACAGAGGTACGGATCCGCCATAAGTCGACGCCGGTAGTCTGTTTGCTACCTGCCAGTCGCTTGGGCTGCCCGTCGCAGAGGGACAATACCCAGCGAACCTGGGATGCTACCCCTGGGGTACTAGAGCTGCTCCGCTCTAGGACTCACCAGGCCTTCTTGAAATCAGAAACTTATTGGCCACCGGACTGGCCAATAAGTGATCTTTCCGAGGGCCTCAAGTTCGTAAATTAACCATGGAGGTAAGAATAACCATGGGGGTAAGAATAACCATGGAGTTAAGAATAACCATGGAGGTAAGAACCATACCATGGAGGTAAGAACCATACCGTGGAGGTAAGAATAACCATGGAGGTAAGAACTATACCCTGGAGGTAAGAACCATACCGTGGAGGTAAGAATAACCATGGAGGTAAGAACTATACCCTGGAGGTAAGAACCATACCCTGGAGGTAAGAATAACCATGGAGGTAAGAACCATACTGGGGAGGTAAGAATAACTATGGCATCCTACCTCTTTGACTACTACCGATTACCTCATCTCAACATTTATATGAAACTCACCGATTTCAACATAATCGCAATCTTCATAAAATTTGTAGCATAATTGCTTGGATATGTTTTATAAAGTGACTGGTAGAAATCCATCTTCAACGCAGCAGATCTTCGAAAACTTCGAAAAAAAGTTTCTCTTTCATGGCTGATTTAATTAAAAACGTAAGAGACTTTGTGAGATTTAAAAGTAGGCAGAAAAGCAACCTTAGGATGGTGTAGACTTTTATTTTTCTATAAGTGGAAAAGGTACATAAGAGGGAAAGATCTGCAGAAATTTTGTTTATAAAGACGATAGAACTGTGTCCGATGGCCATTGAAATTGATATTAAAAATCTAAGCTAAACTAAGACTGCTTTTTCGCTTACTTTTCAACAGTTGACTCAAAACCAAACTGTTTGGAAAATTAATCTCTTATTTGGCGACCTTTTCTGTCATTTGGCAAATTTATAGTCCATTTGGACTTTGGCGATTTTAATTCAATTTTGAAAATTCGTTCTGTAATATATTGATCATATTAACCGAAATGTGGATTGCATTGATCAACGTATTTCCTACAATTTTCATTACGCACGGGTGGGACATCAGCAATTTGATAACAGTATCCGAATGATATTAAAGATGATGTGAATTAGAGTGTAGACTCCACATTAAGCGGCGTCTACACTCTAATTCGCATCTGCTTTTATTCTCATAATACTGTATTACCGTTGATTTTTTGTATTTTGATAGTATTTTTTGTTTTCAGATGATTTGGATGTGGACATCATTACAAAATACACCGGCAAATTTTCACCTGTTATAACAGGACTAGAAGGGAGAATAACAATTTTATCTTCGAGAGATCCCACGGGAGGGAAGACGGAAACAGAACGTTCTGATACGGCAGGAATGTACGATGATTCGATTTTGTCGACAATGGAGACATTTGAGCAGAACTCCACAACGTTTGAAGAAGAAATTTCTCTTGGGCAAGAATACGTTGAGGAAACAATAGTTTCCACTATTAAAACTGACGATATCCTTTCAACTCTTGATTCTGAGTTAGCTTCATCAATTTTAATTAAAGAAATTAACTCCTTAACGGCTGCTAGCTTTGAAGAAGAAATTGCTGCTGGCTTAGAATATGTTGGGGAAAGAATAGCTTCCGATGTAGAAGATATCGGTGAAAAATTTACTTCAGGCGTGCCAAAAATCTTCGGAAGAAGAAGAAGATGATTTTTGCCGCCTGTTTATTACTCTCCTACTGCATTTATGTTCACGTATATATACTAGTAAGAGATATATGTAAAGTATGTCACATTGAAACAATCTGCTAAAAACTTTATATATTTTTAGCTTTTGAGATAAAATAATAAAACACATTCTTTATAGCATATTGATTCTTATTGTAGATTTTGTTATCAGCGTTATCTCAGCGCCCCAAAAGTCAAGTTATAAGACGAATTATATTATACAGAAAATAAAGAATTTCGAATGGCAAAAGTTGATGATTACACGGTAGAATAAAACAGGAGGGCCAATTCATTCACAAATTCTTAACGTTACTTAATTTCTCCGTTCGTAAACTAAGTTGTTGGTTCGTAACTCGATAAAATAATAAAACACATTCTGTGTGGCATATTGCTTTTATTACTGCAGAATATTTTAATCGGCGTTATTTCATTGCTTAGCAGAAGTCAAAAGCACGTTATAATATTAATTATTTTATACAAAAGATGAAGAGTCTCCAATGGGAAAGCTTGATTTACATGGTAGTATAAACCAAGACGACCAGTTCATTCACGGATTCTTGAAGTCACTTAAATTCTCTGTTAATTAACTAACTTTTTACTTCGTAATACGATTAAATAATAAAACGCATTCTTTGTAGCACATTAGGATAATGCAGAACTTTTTATCAGCATTATCCCAGCGTTAGGCAAAAGTCAAAGTCACGTTTTTAAGACCAATTATTTTATACAGAACATGAAGAATATCGAATGGAAAATTTTGATATTTACATGGTATTATAAAACAAAGGGACCAATTCATTCACAGATTCTTAAAATCACTTAAGTTCTCTGCCTTTAAATAAGTTCTTGGTTTGTAACAGAATAAAATAATAAAACCCATTCTTTATAACATATTGCTTTTATTATAGCAGAATTCTTTTATCAGCGTTATCTCAGTGTTAGGCAAAAGTCACGTTATAAGACCAATTATTTTATGCAGAAGATGAAGAATCTACAGTGGCATATGTTTTATATTTATACAGTAATATAAAACAAGAGGACGAATTCATTCGCGAATTCTTAAAGTCACTTAAGTTCTCTGTTCATTAACTAAGTTCTTGGTTCGTAAAACGATAAAATAACAAAACACATTCTTTAAAGCATATTGTTTTATTATTGCAGAATGTTTTTATCAGCATTATCTTATTGCTTAGTTAAAAGTCACGTTATAATAGTAATTATTTTATACAGAAGATGAAGATTCTCTTGTGGCAGAAGTTTGAGGTTTACATGATAGTATAAAACAGGAGGGTCAATTCATTCAGAGATTCTTAAAGTCAGTTAAGTTCTATGTTCGTTAACGAAGTTCTTGATTCGTAACACGATAAAAACAAACCAAATTCTTTGAAGCATATTGATTTTATTATTGCATAAATGTTTTTTATCAATATCATCTCAGTATGAGGCGAAAGACACGGTATAGACCAATTATTGTATGCAGAAGATGAAAAATCTGCAATGGCAAACGTTTGATATTGACATGGTTGTACAAACAAAGAGGACCAATTAATTCACGGATTCTTAAAGCCACTTAAGTTATCTTTTCATTAACTAAGTTCTTGGTTAGTAACACGATAAAGTAATGAAACACATTCTTTGTAGCATATCGATTTTATTATAACATATTTTCTTGAACCGTGACCTTGCTGCTTAGGTCGAAATCACAGTCTCTTTATGAAGCCAATTGTTTTATACAAAACATAAGAAATCCAAAGATAAATAAAAAGTCTGATATTTACATGACAGTAAATAACCAAAAAAATTACTAATTCTTAGTGTCCTTCAGCTTTTGTGTCCTTTAAGTAGTAAAAAATTGCTCTTTTAATGGAAATGTAATTTCATTAACATATAAATATGCTGATCGTTATCAGAAAGAAGTTAAATTAATATTTTTAAGTAAAAGAAGGTGTATGATTTTGCGAAATATGTTTTTAAATGTGTCAAGCAATAAAAAATACAAATCTTTGGTTAAAGATGCAATGTAAAACCTGTTCAGCTGCTAGCTATCAGGGACCATATGTAGACAAATTCCTTTCGAAGTCCACACAAATACAGATCACCTTTTAAGTAACGTATAATATGTGATTCATAGTGTTGATCCTGTTAGTTGTTTAACCGCTTAACCTGTTAGTTGGTTTATTTCGTGGTATTAAGCTCGAAGTGGTAGAACTAGCAATTTTTAATAATGAACTTGGTCTTCTCATGGGCATCAACTGTGTTTCTCTTGCTTCTTTTTTCACTGTGATTCCGTTATCGAGGGGTAGACTCATCAGTTCTAAAATCAACATCAACTGCTTCATCAGCATTTGTAATGCCTACTGAACTATTAACTGTGCCATAAGAAAATTTTTATTGTACGTAGTTGGGTCCAAAAAATGGTTATAAGCAACAACATATGAAAAATAATTATTGTGGAGGTAATTCCTATCTCCAGACCACGGAGGTAGGAACAGTGTCGACAAGTGTATGTAGACATGGTGTAGACAGATCTCACTAGTTGTGTAGCAGCGGTTGTGTGAGTATGAAGAGTAAGTTCGCAGACGCCTCAGAGCGATTAAAATGGCAAGACGTTTAGAAAAGTGGTCTCGTTTAGAGGTGTGAGCTGTGATTCATTGTTCTGACCAAGTATCTGCAGAGTTAGCCATACATTGCTGCCGATCGTTATTCTGCCAGTTTTACAACTTTACATGAAGCTATCCGAAGCAAGCGCCTTGGCATGTTGAGTGCTGGTGTCATCCTCCTGCATGCCAATGCCCGGCCCCATGCTGCTCGCTAGACTGAAGAATTGCTGCAAAAGTTTACGCGGGAAGCCTGGAGTCACCCCACTCATACAGCCCTTAGAACTCAGTGACTATTTCCTTTTCCCGAAACAGAAAGAACGTTTATCTGGGATAAGGTTCTCTTCAGGGAGTGATTTGAAAACAGCTACGGAATCAATGGGCAGGGACGAGATTTCTACCAAGTCAGGTTGGTCTTACGTTTAGATAAATGCCAAAGTAGGTTCGATGATTATGTGGAAAAATGATAGGCAATGATTCACTCTTGTATTTCGTAATTGCTATTATCTGTTATTATTGTTAATGAATAATTTTTTATTACCCTTGTAACATTTCTTCTTTTTTTTTTGTATACACCCTCGTATCTACATATATAGACCACAATAACAGAATTAGAACTGGTTCAAAGTATTCAGAGACAATTAATGGACTTTTTTATTAGTGCTGAGATTATGACTATGCTACTTTAATCTTAGCACTTTTAAAAGAGTACATTAATTGTCTGAATACTCTGAACAGTCCATAGTTGAGCGCACGATTTCCTACAGGCGAGAGAGTAGTCTATATTAAGTTTATATTTATATAAAAACTGAATATTGACTATTCTATCGCGTGTAGGAAATCGTGTGCTAACTATGGACTATTAGGACATTGAGTCCAGCTTGTGTGACTGCATAATTCTTCGGCGTTACATTTACAACAGTTTTTATTTAAATAAAAACTGAACTCTCGCCTGTAGGAAATCATGTGTTCAACTATGAACTATTACGACATTGTGTCCAGCTTGTATGACTACAGAATTATTTGACTTTACATTTACATTTATCAGCAAGTTGAACCGATTAACGTTTTAACATATGGACACAAAGTTTCTATCGGACATTCTAGTTACTCGGTTGTCTTTAAACCATTGCCATTATTTAAGGCAGCTGCAACTTAAGCTAAAAAAAGAACTTATTGAGAACTTTAAAATCGTACATTGCACTCTTGTGCAAAATGTCGTATTGTTAAAAACCTCACCACTATAAAATTAGAATTAACTTGATGTTTGAAAATAAACGCCATTTGATCTGCTAGCTTTAATCTTGCTGTGATGGCTGGCAGATAGTAGATTTCTCTACCGCAGAATAACTCTATTCTGTTTACTTATGACAATTTAGGTCAGAGCTTCTCCTTTTGGATTGAGTTGATAAGTGCATTACGCATTATTTGCACGTGGTTTTAAGGTCTTGTTATATCCCAAACGCGACATGAAGGAGAAGATTCTAAAAGGAAACCGCTATTGAATTAGAATATTTTTTAATCAGAAAGAGACCTCACTTCAACTTCTCCGAACGTTTTCGTTTTATCCAGAAATGAGTAATACAATTTTGGTTAAGTTCAAGATTTCTATAGTCGATTCAAGTTAGGCTTTTAACTATGGCAGCACATATGACGAGTGAGTGAGTGAGCGCCACCAAGGAAGACCACTGACCTGGCCTTAGCCTCACAGTGTGATATCTTCCTGGCAGAAACCATCTACTCTCTGCTCCCCCCTGCTCCGGGAACGCAGCCCAATAAGCGGCTTGTAAGTCTTACATGTAATAGCCTCATAAAGTCTTACATGTAAGCTTGGATATTGTTGTACGGGGAAAGAGTATCCTGTTAGGAACTACTTAAAATTAAGCAAAGAAGCAATCAAAAGACTGTTAAGAATCGCTGTTAGAATAGACAGAAACTTGTGTTAGATAAAGTAAAGATAGGAGGAATCTGCCTGAAAAATTAACTGCCGTGGATTTTCTGGACTTGCTAAATGTCTACCTGCGGGTGCTAATCCTGACACAACTGTCATATATTTATGAGGCTTTTGTAAAATCGTTGGTCCTGCATGGAGGAAAGATGTAACCTATTAAATTATTGCACATAGTAAACTTTAATAAAAAAAAGAGAGATTAAAAATGATTAAAAAAAAATCCTAGCGCCCAAACATAATTTAACGCAGGTTACTTTCCATGTGCCTGACTCTTATGTAAGAACATTTAAAAGATTGTGTACCTGTTATCACTAAGATAACAAATTCCTGCATAATTTAGTTCTTTGCGCATACTTAAACTATAGTTGTTTTACAAATTGAACCATTAACTTACATTTTCTTTCGTAGTACTTGCAGACAGGATAATACATGCATAAGTACAAAACTGAGTATTAAAGTGAAAAACTAGATACTGAGTACAGAAACATGATACTGAGTACAGATATACAGAAAGCAGATCCCTAATGCCTGCATACATAACACTTAAAACTGCATACGTAATATTATACATGAAAACTAAAACTAAAACTGATAA